CCCACACTTTAAGACCTTCTTGTATAACCGATGGCAATCTTTTTGGTCAAGCCTCCGCACTAATATATTACATTCTGTAAAACTATCAATCTCCTCCTGGTCAGCTCCATTTCATGCTTACGCATTGGCCACACCCGTCTAACACACACCTATCTGATGTCACAATCTGATCCACCCCTATGTTCCTTATGTAATGTTCCCCTTTCAATCCCACACATCCTATTGTCGTGCCCACGCTTTGAAGCAGCCCGTACCTCTGCTTTCCCCCACCTATCCTCCCTTCACCGACCTCCCAACCTATCAGACATCCTTACAGAATCCCACACTTTCTGCTTCAACAACCTGTTCTCTTTCCTCAAACGCATACATATCCTTCATCTAATCTAACTCCTTACCACACCCGACCTTAACCCTTTCACTCACCAATTCCTTTGCCCAGCTTAGACAACTAATCAGTAACTCAACCATCCTTCACTAACATTAACTATAGTGCTACATGGCCTTAGATGTCTAGCACATTTATCTTGCTTTTTAGCCATTAACCATTACCTCCAAGTCGCTAATGAATTGGGAAACTATTTCAACCAGGTCAGTAGTAGTTCTCACCTTTCTCCACACTTCTCTTCTATTAAGACCATCAGGGAACGTACCCCCATTATCTTCACCCTATCCTCCGCTGAGTCCTATAATGCTCCTTTTTTCTTCCTCTGAACTCAGTGCTGCCGTACAGTCGTGCCGCAACACTCATGAAGGCCCTGACGGTTTACACTACCGTATGCTCCGGCAACTCCCATCTTCCTCCTTATCTTTCCTATTAACAATTTACAACCACATATGGATATCAGGAAATTTTCCTTCACATTGGCAAGAAGCTCTTATACTCCCCTTCCTAAAACCCAATAAATCGGGTACCCTCCCTCAAGACTATCGGCCCATCACACTAACTAGCTGTTTGTGCAAACTATTAGAGCGAATGGTGAACTTCCGCTTAATGTGGTATCTTGAATCTCACAATCTTCTCTCTCCTTCCCAGTTTGACTTCCGCCGTGCCCGAAGCACAGCTGACCCCCTTGTTCATTTTGAGACATGTATTACATCTGCACGCCATGAATCCGTACTAGCTATATTCTTTGACCTAGAAAAAAGCATATGATACTACATGGCGGTACCATATTCTACAACAATTGTCCTCTCTAGGCATACGTGGAAACATGGGTGTCTTCATAACGTCTTTCCTCTCCCAACGCACTTTCCAGGTCAAAATTGCCTCTGCCACATCATCCTTCTTTCGAAGGCGTCCCACAAGGCAGTGTGCTCAGTACCACTTTACTCCTTCTTGCTGTTAATGACATTGTTATCACTATATGTTGATGATTTAACCATCTGTCTCTGGCACATCCATACCAAATCTCTGACTGACAAATCTTCAGACTGCAATATCATCAGTATCTTCCTGGGCCACAGGAATAAACGGTCAACCATAATACTATTCTTCATATTAACCCAGCTACCACAGATTAACATTCTGTCCCTTGTAGTTTTTGTGTATTTTGTTATAAACAGATGGCTCCACATGTGCTCAGCTAGGAAGGAGTCTATTAGTAGGCCCTAGTTACCGATCCTGATTTCCCATTCCTTAAATTGGCGGGTAATTGTGTTTTTCTTTTTAATATAATTGATATCGATACTGTTATTATTGTTATGATTGTTAAATTGTTATTCAAATCTTGGTATCATTTAAGACAATGATATAATATAAAAGACCCTTTCCAAAAGTCAAGAAAAAAAGTAAACAGGTGAGATAGGTAGGACTAATAACGGACTCATTGGTGATTTAGCACTTACAGGTGTAAATACAATAAATTAGCATATGTTACAGTGGGCATGGCATGTATTCTGGTCTTCCGTGCCTACTAGGTTAAGGACAACAGAAGTATATGCCACCAACATATTTATATTTTCTCAAGGGAAACAAGTTTATTAGGGAAAAAAAGTAAGTACACACACACACACACACACACACACACACACACACACATATATATATATCATTATGAAACAGTTATTAACGCTGGAAAAATGCAGAGCATCTTACATTACTAAATGTTGTTTTCTGATCCAATAAAGAAACAAATATTACTGATGTTTAAATACTAGAATTATTGAATAACTAGAAAAGAAAAAAAAATCAGCATACATGGAAATGCAATGAGATACACTTGAGTGTTTGTTCCAATATTCAAGATTTTGTTTAAACTATTACTGTCAATTATGATATACTATAGATGTTTCTATTTTTTAAATTTAACTTAAAATCTGGCCTTTAAGCGACTCTCCCAGGCAAAGTCTAAAGACCTTGTTCCCTGATGTGTGGCTAGAACGCCCGGCCCACACGAACACTCACGCACGGTATCGAACAAGGTCTATAAATATCCTTGTATCGAGCCTCCCGGCCTCCGCGATTAGTTACTTTTTTGCAGACGCGATTCTCCTATATTGCAATTTTTCGAGATCCTTAATTGTAATTTGTTATGCTGTATCATGTTGACAATATACCGTTTTCATTGAGCAGACTCCATATTATCTCTGCATATAGTTTATCCTCTGTACAAAAATATAATTTACTCGCACTTTATCACAAGAGTACTAGATTCTTCTCGTTGTTTGCACTTCAAAGTATCTGTTCAAGTAGCTTACACAGCGCATGAATAAAGAACGTAATGTAGTTTCCTACAAAAACGCGATTTGGTTTTAAATTATCCGGTCTACATTTGTCATTTGTTATGCTTTATCATATTGGTAATATACTATTTTGTTGTTGAAAAGACTCAATGTTATAACTTCCAAATAGTTTACACTCTGTGCAATACAGGTAATATTGTGTCTGCGTTCTTCGTATTGTAAATTTTCTAAAATAAACATTCACCTATGCTATATCATACAGTAACCGACTGTTTTAGTTGATCACACTTCATATTACATCTCCAAATATATTACATTCTGTTCAATACAAGAAGCATCGTGCTAATGAAGGATAAACAAAGGTGTTTTATTATTATTATATCTATTTTATTATGTATGTACACCATTCACTGTTTTCAAGCGTATGGTAGGCCTAAAAACAATTGTACTGGCACAAGGTCACTTTACAATGGCCGCACATTGTGCGAGTCTCTTTACGCACACCTCAGGCGTAGCAGACTTTACAACACCGATAACATGGGCCAGGTGCTAGCACATGCGTATGCACATGATGTCCACCATGTAGACGGCCCTCTCCCAGGTATGGCCCACAAACGGTACTTTCCACCCTCGTGAACTGGTGGAAATCCGGCAGGATCTCGCGAACGAGCCCCTTCGTCCCTCCCAGTGCTTTGTGCACCAGGAAGGAATTGACGACCGCCGTCTCAATAAGTTTATAAAGGCCATTAGTAATCCACTTGATGTGGCGAGGGAGTCTCACGCCCAGAAGTCATGCTTGGCCTTCGAATACAGCGACATGAGGAGAAGCACCACAAACAGTGCGTTAACTTCCGCCGCTGCAGTCTCAACCCATGCGTTTAACTGAAAACAGAAGAAAAGGGATACAATATTGCTTACGATGAAGGAAACAATCCAGAGAAAAAATATGCAGGTATACAAAAATAAGCAGATGTAAGAAAAATGCTTACCTGTTTGTGCCCCGGACGATGACGTCATCCGGGGCAGTGCCGAAGCAGTGAAAGATTTTCGCGGACGAGGAAGAAGCGTCCAGGTCAGGAACATTAACCCCAGGACCGAACTCTTCGCAGAGTTCGGTTGCCATAACCGCTGAGCGAATGCAGACAGTGGCTCATCGGAGTCAAGATTGGTGTCATGTGACACGTAATCTATATCCGAGTCTGAAAAAAAAACATTATAAACAAAATGAATCTGAAGGTAACTTACCGAAGTGGAAGGCCGAAGATCGTCTAGGGGGGCAACAGAGGAGGATTGCTACAGACAAGTGCTTGCACTTATATATATATATATATATATATATATATATATATATATATATATATATATATATATATATATATATATATATATATTAGATATTTTTTCACGGTTCTACGATCCCTACCATTTGCCGCAGCCAATAAAAGCATTCCTAATTCCTTTGAAAAACATCTGACTACGCAATACCCCGATATCCCCCATCACTTCCCACGTTCCCCACCCACCATCTCACCTTCCCCCATCCCCCTCATCCTACTACCTCCATCCCCATTCTCCTCTCACCTTCCTCCATCTCCCTCCCCCTCCCCCTCCCACCTTCCCCATCCCCCTTATACCTTCCTCTATCTCCTCCAACCTTCACTCTCCCCCTCCCCTCCCACCTTCCCCCATCCCCCTTACACCTTCCCGATCCCCTCCCAACTTCCCCATTCTTCTATCTGTCTGTCTCTCTCTCTTATGAAAAAAAACCACCTCCTACAGTGGTTTCCCAAGACAGGATATTTCCGTCAGCCACCCTTCGGGCCAATTTTTTCATGACGGGATGTTCCTATAACCTGCCTCTTATCTACATTTGTTCATGACGTGATAGTAAACTCAACTGCTTCTTTGGTAGTGTGATAAGGCCAGATCAAGCAGAAAGTTATCATAAAGCCTTTATAGAGAAATGAGGTAAAGCAAATTTTAATCCATTATTTTACTAGAATTTACCCAGACAGTAAATCAAATCTAGTAATATATTGATAATCATTTGTGATTTCTAGTGATTGCGATGCAGGGACATGAGAGGGTTGTACTGCTGCCTTGTCAACCATCTGTTTCTTCATATGACTTGCCCACAAAACAAGAAAGAATAGTGAAAACATGTCTCACATATGAGAAGCTGGCTACTGTTAATTTTCTGGCCATCTCATCAGATAGACACATGTCACTTGGTTTCAAGTATATATAAAAAACCTATCTGATATAAATAAAATTCTAGAACTGTTCCTTCTCTTGGTAGGAATATTTGGAACTCAATAATTAATTAAACACTTTATTTGGGTAATAAACAGACTTTCAATCAACTATATTTTACATTTAAAATTCTGTAAATTTGTCAAATTTTCAACAAATATGGGATTAGATTCCATTCCCGAGTGCAATCACATGATGAATAATACTAGCTTTAATTTTATGAGACAGTCACAAGAGAGTTTGTCTTCATATATTCCTGTAACTTTCTTATCTCAAGTCTTGGATCCTTGTCTGTAAGCTTTGAGCACTGTAACAGAGGAAAAAATATTGTTGAGTATACTTTTTATTTCTTCAATTAAGTATAAAAGAAATACATCAGCAGTAAGTAGTGCTATGTGATAACTTAGCTGTGTCAAATGACTTACCTGACAAACTTCACGCAATTTTAGAGCATCTGGCATTTGCTCATCTATCCTCGCTTGTCGACTGCTGTTTGATGGATGGGTTGACAAAAATGCTGGGACAGAATCTGTTTCCATGCCTACCTGCTTTCGTATTTCTTCTTGTAAACACAATTTACCCCAAAATGCACTTGCTTCTCTAACATCATAGCAAGCCTGAAACATATATACTTTTAGAGAAGAAATATATATATATATATATATATATATATATATATATATATATATATATATATATATATATATATATATATATATATATATATAAGCAATTTATTAATGGATATTACTCACTTTTAGCAAAACTGCACATGCTGAAGAGGTATAAATATCTAATTCTAGGACTAAAGAACAAAGAAAAACAATGTAATTAAGAACAATGAAAACCATAAAAGAAGGAAAAGAAAGAGAAGAGAAAGAAGAACAAGATGAGAAAATAAAGAAAGAAAGAAAAAAAAGGAAATAGCATGAGAAAAATTAGGAAGAAAGAGAAAAACAAGAAAAAATATAAGAAAAAAAGTCAAAAAAAAAAATAAGGAGAGAAAAATAGGAAGAAAAAGAAAAAAGAGGAAAAGAGAAGATAAGAATAGGAAAAGAGGAATCGAGACAAAATGATACAAGACAAGAAAAGAAAAGAAAAAGGATGAGGAGAATATGAATGAAAATGAGAATGAGGAGAAAGAGAATGGGTAAAAGGAAATGGAGAAGGAAGAGGAAGAGGAGGAGGAGGAGGAAAAGAGGAAGAAAACTGCAGCCTCACCTTTGCAGCTAATTGCAACCCAACAGAATCTGCTTCATCTTCTATACTTCTTGAGTAAGGCAACTTCAGAAGCACTTCAACAACTTTAAGAAGGAACCAGTGAGTAACAACAGCAATACCATCACTTGGTAAAAAAGCCCAAATGACTGCCAAAGGCAACAGAATGAGGGTGTCAAGAAGATATCCATGACTCAGCTGTTCAGCCTGCAATGCAAAATATGTATAAGTTATAGTGTTGTTATGAATGACAAAATACTACTGTGTTAATACAAAGACAGAAGAAAACCTAAAATCTATTTTAAATATAGTGTTTATTTCTGCCAGTGTAGAGTGTACTATCCAAGGAAAAATCCAAGTTTAAATGGATGTCAATGCACAAAAGACAAATATCACTAGACACTCACAGCATGTTCAAGTATAGCATGACTCATCTCATGTGCAAGAATCATAGCTAATTGGTCATCATTCTCAAATAAGTTCATCATTCCTCGGAACATAATGATGTCACCACTCTGGAAGGAGGCAAAAGTATTCTTAGACATGAAAACTTCCTGCACACAAATGTCCAGTAAAAAGAACAGTATTGCTGATCATATTTTAAAGGAGGAGGAGGAGGAGGAGGAGAAGGAGGAAGTGAAGAAGAAGCAGGAAGGAGGAGGAGGAGGAGGAGGAGGAGGAGGAGGAGGAGGGAGAGGGGGAGGAGGAGGAGAAGGAGGGAGAGGGGGTATAGGAGGAGGAGAAGGAGGAGGGAGGGGAGGAGGAGGAGAAGGAGGAGGAGGAGGAGGAGGAGGAGGAGGGGGGGAGGAGGAGGAGGAGGAGGAAGTGAAGAAGAAGCAGGAAGGAGGAGGAGGAGGAGGAGGAGGAGGAGGAGGAGGAGGAGGAGGAGAGAGAGAAGAAGGAGAAGGAGGAGGAGAAGGAGATAAAGGAGGAGGAGGAGGAAAGGAAGGGGAAAGAGGAGGAGGAGAAGGAAGAGGAGAAGGATGATGATGATCATATTTTAAAGGAGGAGGAGGAGGAGGAGGAGGAGAAGGAGAAGGAGGAGGAGAAGGATGATGATGATGATGATGATGATGATGATGAGGAGAAGGATGATGATGATGATGATGATGATGAGGAGGAGGAGAGGAGTAGGAGGAGGAAGAGGAGGAGAAGGAGGAGGAGGAGAGGAGGAGGAGAAGGAGGAAAAGGAGGAGGAAGAGGAGGAGGAGGAGGAGGAAGAGGAGGAGGAGGAGGAGGAGAGGAGTAGGAGAAGGAGGAGAGGAGTAGGAGAAGGAGAAGGAGGAGAAGGAGGAGAAGGAGGAGAAGGAGGAGGAGGAGGAGGAGGAGGAGGAGGAGGAGGAGGAG